AATATAATTAAATAACAATATATTATGTCTTACAGTTTCAAATAACTTTTATTACATTATCTAGAATGCATGTAATAGTCTATTGCCGTTGAAAAAGCTGCAAATCCTGCAGCTCCAAATATAGCTGCCTTTACACCAGCTGCAAAAATTACTTTTTAAAAAACGCAATATGTATATTATAAGTGAATAGTACCTCTTAAACCTAAAATACCCCCCGTAACCGCCCCTGCATATGTGCCATTTTTCCAGTCGGACTTCCCCCGAGCCTGAGAAACAAATTATCAAAGTGCTCAGTATAGTCACAAAACAACTGGACAAAATCACAAAGTGTGCAGTATACATCACTTACTGATTCTATAGTGCATTCAACAGCAGAAAAAATTGCTCCTATTATTGCGAAATTTTTGGCATAACTTAAAGTGGTGGTTTTCATTTCTCTAAAGACTTCTTTTGCTGACTGCTGCTCTACACTAGTAACAGAAGGGCCCACACTTGAAGAGAACAGGCCTATCGCTGCTCCCAACCCATAACCTAGTGAATATTTTCCGTATAACTAAAAGATCTTTCGAAAAGATTAATTAACTAAAATTTACCTACAACACAGCTCATTAAAGACTTAAAAGCACAGCTTTCGAAAACTGCTTCAACCGCTTTCTCTTCATTGGTCTTTATTTTAACAGGACCTAAAAACTTCGGCAATATAATATTTTCCCTGTATCTCTGATTATTCCCAACAAAATATTTTGTCAAACTTAGCCACTCTTCGGGGGTCATTTGATGGTATTTTGTGTCCGAACTTGCCATTGTATTTTGAAAATTTCTTGCTGTAACCTCAAAATTTTATTAGGTTATGCTTCCACATTTCTATGGTTATATTTACATCCTATAACCGTAACCATAGATCTAGACTAGGAAATAGATGTAAAACTCGCGAGATTATGACGATACCAGTGACATCTAAGTTTACCATTAATTCTATTAGAAGTCAATAAAAGAAACATATTCATAGGTCAATAATTATAATTTAACAATATCTTATTTTTTTATAGTTCAAAAATTAGCCCAAACGAGATGAACCTTTACACTTAATCAGATTATCTTACAGATAACCACTTCATTTATGATATCGTTGATCACATTATAAGGTAATAAAAGTTTTATTCAACTGATAAGGGATTATGAAATTATTTTTACTGTCTACATAAGTACATATACAAAAAGCTCTTGACGTTTTAAGTAAACTGAATTAATCTTTTCGCGTATGTAATCTATATACCATGATAGTTACAGATCTCCTGATTGAAATTTACGTAATGTAACCTTGCCAGGAGACAAAAATATTGCTTTATTGTCTATTTCAAAGTCTCATGATTTTTTAGAATATTCTATTAATCATTTCTATAATCATCTTTTCATGTAAATATTACAGTAATATAAGTAGGATAAATGCAATTTAAAGCTTTTGATTGGTGTTACGCTCTGTTCAAAAGATTTTGAGTGTTATTTTAATGATCAGTGAACATTTTGCCTTACTTGTATATTACCTACATTCTAGACCAATCGTTTTTCCTCTGAAATTAATATGAAACATAGCAACGCATTTTCGTCCCTGATTCATTACGTAATTTGATTGATTAAAAATATTACCCCAAATTCCACGTTTTATCTAATATTCCTTGAATTGCAACAAGGTAATCATTTCGCCTTTAAATTGCTTACACTTTAAGCTTTTTTAATCCTATATTATCTTCATCTTCATTCAAAAACGTCACTTATTTTTAAAGCAACGTAGTAATATCTCGTAAATACTCTAGTACCTCCTTTATTGTATGTGTTTTACGTCACAAAACAATTTTATTACTTTAAAAATGAAAATACTGCATGTAAAAATTGTTCAGGTACTTAATTTTTACGCTCAGATAATAAATTATCAGTGAACAACTTGTAATAACAATAAATAATGTACTGAATTTTGGAAAGTTTTTTAACTTCATAACTAGGCACTGAAACAATACAAAAACATATCAAGATATTCCAGATTTATTTGCTACTGAATTAAAAAAAGATATAACTAATAAAAAACAAAACTTGTTTACGCACCTTGTTAATTGTTGCTAAGGGATCATTAAATAAAAAAAAAGAAGAAAATTGAAATCGACGCCTACTAGATTCTTCACTGAAAAAACACACTAATAACCCGTAACTATCACTGTTTACAACTGACACAAATCCAAAAATGTTATACCATCAATACGTGTAACAATTTTACTGATCTTTAGATACCGCTATCATATCTTGAAAGTTGTATTAATACTACCGAACAATAATGTAAATAGTATTTGATGTGTTATGTACTTGCGATGCGACTGTATTAAAGTGTTTTACTTTATAAGTACCAGCCAGGAGACTGCAATGTTATGTAGCATTCTCGGACAGATACATGAAAACCTTGGACTCGGGAAACTAGCCGAGGGTCTTTCTGGTCAATTAAATAATATATATAGATACCTAGTGTCGTTTCTAATAGCCAGGTATCAAACATGTACAAGTAGTTACGTACCTAGCTGATTAAATTTCAAAATACGAAACGAATAGATAGTCACAATTCTAATTTGAACGTCTTGCAGAAGGACCGCATAGAAAACAGGTCTTAACTATTGATATATATAGTAAAATATTTAAGTATACCTAAGCATTTGCAAATCTAAGCGGTTGGCCCTTTTTCGGTGGTATGCAACCAACTGTTCACCTGTGTTAACAGTTACACACGTGTATATGCAACAAACTATACATATATTTAAACCTGACCGTTTTTTCCAAAAGAAAGAAGTTGTAATTAATCGTTTTACTACTCAACTAGNTATCCGTAAGATACAATAAGAGAAAATTGGAACAAAGAATCAACAGTTATTCATAAAAAATGGTGGACAACGGAAATGGAAGCAATGGAGAAGCCACCTTCAGCAACGTGGTTTTTCAGCCAATATATTCATCTCTAAAGCATTTTCAGCCTAATGATATGTCGTTTTCCAGTTGGTTAGAACTTTGATGAGTTTTGCCTCATCAATGGCATTGAAGATGAAATACCACATGTGGAGGGCCAAGTAATACCACCACATAACCAGAAGAGGGCGTTATTTTTGTCCTATATATAGATTCTTTGGGCTATCTATTTAAAGATGGGAACAACCGTTTGAAATAATTCATTGCTACCAACTGCTCACGCCGGCACACTCGCGCCTCACGGTTGGTAGCAGAAGTTTGTACTGAACGGCCACATCACTCCCTCCCTAGCGACCTAGTGCATTCACTCGGGAACGATATTTTCTTCTTTCGGGTGTACGTCTTCTTGGGTTGGTCCCCTAGACTAGGAAATAGATGTAAAACTCGCGAGATTATGACGATACCAGTGACATCTAAGTTTACCCCACATTAGTAGACGATACTTGGAATATATATATAAATGGTACTGGCAAAGAAAACTTCGAATTTCACTGCCATCTATACATACAACTATGAAGCGTAACCTAAGGCGCGCATTTCAAAATTACCCTAAATTTTATTTTTTTTTGTTTTAAATGGAAATTGAAAAAACAAACAACAATAAAATTAACAAATTTAATAACAAAGTACAAATGCAGTAATAAATACAATTAGCACAATATACGACTAAATAGCAAACATCAATTAATTAAAATATAGATACTAAGACAGGTATATTTGTATGAACAAAGAAATTGTTCTTTACCTAACTTAGTACTGCTTCCTGCTTCTACAGGGGGTGCAAACGATTCAGAAACTGCAGAAATACTAGCTTCTGTATTTCCCATTGTGAGTGTACTTTCTATAACAAATAATTATATATGTTTTGGATATTTGAAACTGTTATCTGCATAACTACCTAACGAATTCTTCTTTTCCGTCTGCTTCCATTCCTCTACCAGAAGAAGTTCTACAAAACATTTTTTTAGAACTTAAGTTTCACAACAACAAATTACAATACCTGCAACTTTCGTTGGAACCGCTGTTACTTCAGGAAAATGGAAAGCGGCATCTTGACCTTTAACTCCTGCAGGAACTGTATAATCTAGGTAGAACATTTCAAATTAATTTGACCCCGTAAGTGTAGATTGTACTTAATATATTACTTACTTTCAGGATAGGTAAAAGTCCTTTTCACAAAAATTTTAAAATATTACAAGTTGTGAAACTACTCACTATTGCTCAATAACGCCACCTAGTCTAGGGACGCCACAACTACTGGGGAATTCCTCCGATAATCGCAACCGCCGTCACGTCATCTGTTGTCGTTTCAGTAAAATGTATGTCGCCTAGTAAGTCGGTAATGTTGGTTTTGGTAATTTAAAAAATTTAGAAACTTACGTGGGGTAAACTTAGGTGTCGCTCGCGCTCGACATTTCATACCCTGACCAAAGAATACAAACCCATAGAAGGCCACATCAATGCTATTTTTTGTCGCAGTAGAATGCTCAGTTCTAACTGCGACCGTAGGAGTCGCATGGTCGAAATAGGCAGGGCAGGCTGCAGATGGAATTGTCAGCAGTCGTTGACCATGCGTCGACCAGAGTAGTTATGAGTAGGGGTGCACCTAAAAATTTTTTCTTTCAGGATGAAACATATTTTAATTAGTAGCTGATTATTATGAAGATGATGTTCAATATTTACATAAACCTCGAAATTTAGTATGTATTTTTTAATTCTCAAATGATATTAAATGTTGATTAACAAATGCAACAAAATTACTAAAAAAATATTATCATCTGAACTCATCGGTTGAGAATAAACAATTCCATCGATTATAGTATAATTGCCATTTTATAATGTTTTATCATTATCAATATTTTCTATTCTGACTGTTGCTATTCTCTGAAATGTAAATATTGAACATCATCTTCATAATAATCAGCTACTAATTAAAATATTTTTCATCCTGAAAGAAAAAAAATTTTATGTGTACCCCTACTCATACCTACGCTGATCGACGCATGGTCAACGACTGCTGACAATTCCATCTGCAGCCTGCCCTGTCCTATCTATTTCGACCATGCGACTCCTACGGTCGCAGTTAGAACTGAGCATTTTACTGCGACAAAAAATCGTATTGATGTGGCCTTCCATGTGTCTGTATTCTTTGCCCTAACCATAGATAAACCCTAACCTTACTTAATAGAACGGTCAGTGCAATAGGAAACATATTATGTATCCAAGAATTGGTGTTAAGTTTAATTAAAGCTCGAAAGAATAATTAAATTTTAATCCTGTTGTGTTCCTAAATGTGTGAAAGTGCTTCAGATTTATTGTTTTAAACGTTGTTACCCACGTGTGTTGTATCCAACAATTTACTATGAAGTCAAGAAAACCATGGGAAGAAATTTACCCCTTGCTAGATGAAGACATTAAAAAGGCCATTAAGACGTTTAATTTTCCAACTATGACTCCTGTACAAGCTGCAACAGTGCCTCTACTTATTGCAATGAAAGATGTAGCTGTCCAGGCAGTAACAGGTTGATTGTTATTTTATTCTCTTAGATTTCTTGTTAATGCTTTATATTTTTGTAGGATCTGGAAAGACTTTGGCATTTTTAATCCCGATGTTACAACTTTTAAAAAGAAGAGCTAAAGAGCAAGTTTGGAAAGTAAAAGAAGTTGGAAGTATTATAATTTCACCAACTCGAGAATTAGCTGTCCAAACCAACACTGTCTTGACACAGTTACTTGAACATTTACCTGTAAGAAAACCTCCACATTCCTCACAGTTAATTCCTTTCAATTTGTAGTTATTTTTTAGCAATTTAAGCAATGCTTATTAGTCGGTGGTAACAGCATAGAAGAAGATGTTAAAAAATTAAGAGAGGGTTGTAATATATTAGTTTCTACTCCAGGGAGATTAGAAGATTTATTAACAAGAAAATTAGACTTTAATTTACCAGCCTCAGTTAAAAGTCTGGTAAATTGTTATTATTTTTTATTTGTTAAACATTCATTAAATAATTTACAGGAGTTGTTAATTCTTGATGAAGCAGATAAATTATTGGATTTAGGATTTACAGCATCTTTAAATACTATTCTCAGTTATCTTCCTAGACAGAGGCGAACGGGTTTGTTTTCTGCAACCCAAACAAAAGAATTACAGGATCTAATTAGGGCTGGACTTAGAAATCCAGTTGTGATAACCGTCACAGAAAAAGCATCTCAAAGTACACCTGTTACTCTTGATAATTACTATATTGTTACTAGAAATGATGGTATACTGAATTAATATTTTTTTAAGTAGATATATTTGTTTTGTTTATTCTTTTATTTCAGGAAAACTAGGTACGCTTGTGTCCTTTTTGGAAGAAAATTCTATAAGGAAGGCTCTTCTGTTTTTTCCCACTTGCGCCACCGTAGAATACTTTTCTATTGTTCTTAAACACATTCTTCCCCAAAAATTGTCACCTGTATTAGCAATACATGGTAAAATGAAAGAAAAAAGGCAAAAGATTTTAGACAAATTTCGGAATTCATCGTCAGGGATTTTATTATGCACCGACGTAATGGCGAGAGGAATCGACATACCTGAAGTATATAAAGTTTATATAAAGGGAGTGAGGTTTTTACATGTTTTTTTTTATTTCTAAGGTTGACTGGGTATTGCAGTGGGATCCCCCCACAAGTGCCAGTGCTTTCGTTCACAGGGTTGGCAGGACTGCGCGTCAAGGAAATCAGGGCTCTTCCTTGATCTTCCTCTTAGAAAATGAAGAGCCCTATGTAGAATTTATTAAGCTCAATCAAAATGTTTATCTTAAACAATTATCAGATAGCGCTACAACAGAAAAGGTCGGTTGTTGGGTGCCCTCGAAAAAGACAAAGTGCCTAATAGTCCAATTAGATTGCAGATATTAGAGAGAAGCTACGTTCCTTACAAAAAATTGATAGAGCAACTATGGAGAAGGCGACAAGGGCTTTTGTGTCGCATGTAAGGGCTTATTCAAAACACGAATGTTCTTTAATTTTAAAAGTTAAGGTATTCTTATTATTTTTTATTGTTCTTTAAAGCGTTGGTAATATTATCGGTTTAAGGATTGGCCCTTAGGTTCAGTAGCAGCAATGTACGGACTTATTCGTTTACCAAAAATGCCCGAATTAAAAAATCAAGACTTGTCGGACTTTCCGCAAGTCGAAGATTTCGATTTCGATTCAGTTCCTTACAAGGATAAACAAAAGGAGGAGCAAAGGCAGAAAAAATTGGAAAGTTATAAAAGCACTGGTACTTTCTTTTGGTTTATTATTATATTCACACCTATATGTGTATATTATAAATTGCTTTTAGGTGTTTGGCCAGGTAAACAAATTAAAATCCGCAAAAAACCCACCGAGCCTTGGTCAAAAACCAAACAAATGAAAGAAGAAAGAAAAATTAAAAGGCAAAAAAGAAAAAACACAAAACAAATGAAAATAGCAAATAATCAACCATTAAAGAAAAAAAAACGAAAAGGTGATTTAGATTACGACTCTTTTTTGATATGTTTCTAATATTTTAATTTGTAGGTATCAGTGAAGAAGATATGGAAGAACTTGCAAAGGATATTGCTCTTATAAAAAAATTGAAAAAAAGAAAAATAACAGATGAGCAATTTGACAAAGAAATGGGGCTCTGTGAGTAAATTATTTTTATATCAACCGTTAGAAATAAAGTTAAATTTTGTAAGTCTAGTTTTATTTCAACCGTTGTCTCTAATAAGAAAAGCTACTGTCTAATTTTATTTTATAATTTGATTCGTTGATTCATTCATTTAAAATTTTCTCTAATAATGAAAGCAAGATTTTAATTTTGTTTCACTTTGTTTATGAACATATAGTATAATTTTTGATTATTAGTTTATTTTAGGTATTTAAGAAACTTTTTAATTTATTTATTTTAGGTTAGAATCAAAGATATTCCTCAACAATTAAAGTTTTTGTTTTTCTATGGTAGAAAACCGCTTCTTTTTTGTACATTGAGGTTAGAGTTCCAAAATAAATGAATCAACCCGGTACAAAACAGAAAATTTTGAAAATAATGGGCATTTCTAACAGTTTGGACTTTTCACCATTTACAACTTTCTCATTGGGGACAATACTAGGTGCTACATGCGTTTATTACTTTTTAAAAATGAGACGAAAATGTGATATACCCATGGCAGACGAATACAGTGAGAAATACGAGGTTAGAACACGTTTTCCTTTAATATCTTGTCTGTTTAAATGAAATATAGTTTCCAGACCCTCATAACGAATATAGGCTTATAATGGGAATCAGAAATGACCTAAAAATGCAGAAAGGTAAAGTTGCAGCCCAGTGTGGTCATGCAGCTGTAGCTGCTTATGCAAAGGCCTTAAAACATAAACCACAAACAGTAAAACGATGGCTCTCATACGGTAATTCAATATCTGTTGAATATAAATGTAATGTTCTTTTTGTACAATGTTTACTTATTATTGTATAGGTGGCACTAAAATAACTGTAAGAATAGACTCGGAAGAAGAACTTCTAGAATTAGATAAGAAGGCAAAATCTGCAGGTATACTTTCAAGTATAATCAGGGATGCTGGGCAAACTCAAGTTGCACCTGGCACTCGTACAGTTATAGCTGTAGGACCTGCTCCTAAGAGTGAACTAGATAAAGTTACAGGCCATCTAAAACTTTACTAGATAGGTAATTTCGTTATTTATTTATAATACTGTTTGTTTTTTTTTTTTTTAATAAAATATTGGATATTATCATTGTGACTTTTAATGCTTTACCCGTAAATGCAGTAAAAGATCACAATCATAACATGCAAATACATGAGAGTTTGCATTTAAATTCATGTTTTATCATGAATTAGATGTATATTTGGCTAATTATATCGGTTTTCCATCTTTTATATTGATTATTGGCGTCATTATTAGTCAAAAACAAACAAAGGATATTTTTTACTTATTTATTATTTCATGGCAGGCAAGTTCAGTCCCCATATACCTATGGAAACATTTTTTTATTGCACTAACGTATATAATTTTTTCTAAAATTTCATTCCATATAATTACCACAAACTTAATATAACTAGAAAAATATATTTTAATACATAAAATATATATTTCATGGACTGAAGGAACACTTTTTTAACTGTAAAAGACTTAACATTCATTAATGAATGGCTTATAATTATTTGGCACTTAAAATAACTATTTATAACATAATTTAGAGTCTTATAGAAAAGGCAATAGAAAAGTTTAAGCGTCTAACTGGATATTACACATTTATAAAAATTTCCCTTTTACATAAAAAAATACATAACGACTCCATTTGAGCGTTAATAAAATTACAACAAAATAACAACTTTATCTACCTGTATCATTATTTTGCATTATGGGAAAATTACTAAATTAAAAACCCTCAATTATGATTTGCTCGCAGTTCTTCAAGCTAAAAAAAAAAGGGAAATATAAATTCGGTTCTTGATATTGGTATAAATAAATAAATTACCTCTTTTTCTTCATCAACGCTATCCGATTCATCGTCACTGCCATGGACTGAAGCTGCAGGGGTAGTGGCCCTGCTTGAAGTAGGGCTAGGAGGTTCAGACAAGGGCCTAGGATATTTAAATTTACCAATATCATTCTCCATTTCTTCTTTATAATCCGGGAAAACTGTATGCAAAGCTTTCTGTCGAGCTTGTCTGTAGTACTACAGAATATCGGTGTATTCATTTATTATTCCAAATTAATTTGTTATTAAAAATAAAAATTAATTACCACTCCCAAATTTCTCCAATCCAACATATCGCTAAGTCTTTCAGTTCGATTACGTTGAATGATTCGTTGCCTTCTATTTAAACGACAAAAGTCGTACATGTAATGAGCTAACTGTCTTACACTGTCCTCGAGACCTATGTGTCTCCTATCCACTATATAAATACCGTAAGATTGGGGATCAGCTATGTGTTCTTCCATAAAACAGCCAAAACCTGACGGCCAAAAAAGTAATTAATAGGCGATAATTATTAAAACGAAATTTATATATCACACCGGATAGATTTGTGGTAATACTCGGAATCCCCATGACTGTACATTCTGCAGGAGTGTAACCCCAGGGTTCGTAATAACTCGGAAATACACCTAAATGACAACCCCTTACAAATTCTTCATAGTCCAGAGCAAACAAAGGGTTTGTAGAACTCAAAAATTCAGGATGAAAAACAATCTTTAAGAAAAACATGGAAAATAACATTCAATTTCAAAAAGTTAAAAAAGTTATACCTTCACCCTATCATTTTTAGTGTTGAATAAATTACACCTCCTTACACCATTTAAAACTGGATCATTCCAGTCGTCTACAACGTTGTGGGTGGTAACAGGGGGTAAACCGTCTCTTTGCATCGAAAAAATACAACGTTTTAAACGAATCATTTCCTCTTTTTTAACTAACTCCTCAGGATCAGGAAGACGACATCTAAACAAAAGCGAAGTATGTAGGAACAACGCCTACATCACTGACTAATAGATTTAAAGAACGCAAAAAGTTTGAACTTACGAGAGGCATATTTCGTACATTCGCTTGCCAATGTTCTGTTGGATGTCGTGAATGGTGTCCCTCAGTGACTTGGTGACAGCGTGACCCCTAAGAGATTCTACGTTGAAATTGTTCGTTTTCGTAGGAAAAATTAGAAAGGCCACAACTGTTACGTCAGGTTTTGAACTCTAAAAAAAATAACTTGATTTTATTTAATTGATATAACAAGCATAAAACATGTTAAGAACCTTCAAATAGTGGTTTAAACGGGCCAAAGCTTCTATAAAAATATCTGCCCCTTTATTTCCGAATTCGTAACGACCAGCAATAAAGAAGTAAAGCGTTTTATCTAAGTCGAAGTCGTAATGCCTAAAAGTGTTATTTTAACGATTTTAGGGTAGGTACTGAAAAAGGCACCAAATCGAAAGATTTTCATTGGAGGACGTTGAAAGAAGGTTCCGGCTCAGTTCAACTCAACAGTGGGATTCTTAATAGGAAAATAAGGAAAAACAACCTCAAGGAAGTGGATTTGTTTTTGAATATGTAAGTGATATATTCTTTTTTCTAAAAATGTTTTTCTCACCCATAAAAATGTCCTCTGACAAATTCGTTGATTTTTTCCTTCGAGAGGGCGTGTAAATTTTGAAACTCGTGAAGTGCCGAAAACTTTTTAACGTTCAAACCATTAGGCGTGATAACATCAGGTTTTCTCTTTAACAAATGTTCAGCCTCAAATCCTTAAAACAATATAACAATTAAAAACAGCTATCTCGCAGAAAATAATAATTCACACCTGTTATATCAGAAACAGTGGTAAAAACATGTGCCAAATGAGTAGCTGCTCTTTCTATACAATATCGATGATAAATCTGTCTTCTACCAGCCTCTTCATCCACATTAAACTATCAATAATATGTGAAGAAAGAAACAGATTTACAATAAGAATAATTTTGCATAAGATATTTACCTTATCTAGAGAGTTGTAAAAGTCAATATTCCCTGCACACAAATATCTCCCCAATAAAGTAGCATGGGTTGTGAAAAGGGTAGCTACATTTATGTGTCTCATTCTGGTCATAATGAGACCTAGACCTGCCTGCCATTCATGAAAATGAGCCACAATTCTTGGAGGAATCCCATCCCCAAACTCTTCAGCAGCAGTTCTAAACTTTATTTGGAAAAAGCAAACAAATGGAATAACATATTTTCAATCTTTGGAGTTTTGAAACTTACTTCTGCTAGAAAGTCTGTAACCATACACCCCAGAATTAAAGCATCATTGGTTTCAATGTCCAAGTGTGGAATGCCAATGTTACTTTTACTCCATAATTCACTTTTGTACTCATCCAGTTTCCATGCAGCTGATCCTATGTCCATTAATATTATCTGAGGATTACCATCCACCAACCATCTTCCAGTATGCATCTAGAATTTCTAAAATTAAGCCACAAATAAATCAACTTAAAATAACACATAAGTACTTTAAATCCTTTATCTTTCAGTTTTTGCACAGCTTGATTTAAGACATCACATCCTAAAGGTCCATCCTCCACTTCAGTTCTTGCATGGTGTTCTTTGTACGGTCCGATTAGACAAAACTGATCACCCATCTCTTCGGTTGTCACATATGCCTTTGATCTAATTACAGTATATATTCCACCCACTGGAAATGAGAACCTTTGCTTGATAAATTTCAACGTAGTAAAGAATTGTGTTAGTTACCTTTGTTAGCTGCCTCCCAAGCAATTTCGAAATTCCATCTGTTCTCTTCCTGAGCTGAAAACCCCCTGTCCAGGTAACCGGACAGGTAACCAGAGGAATCTACTCTATAAAACCGTTTTGAACTCCTCTCCCTTGACATTTTTACTGATTTTATTGCAAGAAGTCTTTAGCTGAATTTGTACTTTTCGAGTCTATTATTGAATCTATAAATTAAAAGTATTTATCTACATTAATATTAGAATCGCTTCATTCGTGGTTACATAATTTGTTTATACAGAATAACATTGAAAATTAGCTGTAAACCTAAAAATATTTGTAACCTATTTCAAAGATTAACTTACCGATTTTTTGTCGCCTTTTTTAAAGTTAATAAATTTCTCGTTTTTTTTTGCGACAAATTACAATTTCATTTTAAAATTTAAATTTTCGGTGAACTAAAATTAAAATAAACTAGGAAATACAAGATTTTATTAATAAAAAGTTCATCGGCGTGTCGATAAACCGAAACGAGACGGAATATAACGGTAAAACGTTGGGATAGAATGTTAGACAGTGACAATAGCACTTAATTTTTTTTTGTGCTAAGCTTAAGTCAGCTCAAGTTCAAAAGCATGAAGGTCACCTTTAGGGATAAAATAATATATAACACTATTTTATCATTTTATTCACATGAAAAACGAAACAGCAATTTATAGTAAATAAGAAAATACAAATACTATTTTTATTATATTCGATAACATAATAATTTTATCATTTTTGATATGAACTAATTTTTATAATATATCCGAATTGATAAGTAACAGCCATATACAGGGCGAATAAAACGTTAGAAACGTATACAGGATGTCATACACTAGTAAACACGTTTATAATCTCCAATGTTTATCAATATGAGAGCAGCTAATTGTATTTGACCGAATTATATTAATATAATAAATAATAACTCGACTTAATTTCCTCTGTTTGGCTCTCGAAGAATGTCTTCACTGAACAAAATTCAGAAAAGTTATTGTTTATCTTATTTTTAGTACAGGTAAAATATTATCCTTTAAAGTATTTTTTGTAACGTAAATGATTAAAATATATTTAAATGTTTAAATTAAAATTTAGATTTATTAGTATATTAATAACACGGGTTATCAATTAAACTAGGTAGTAGCCTTGGAATTACCCTTTTTATCGAATTACGTTGTTTATATGTGTTTATTACGCAAATAACTATTAAATAATCCTAATTTCACCGGAACGGTAACACAAACAACGTTAAAAATATTGTCCAATTAAATTAAATGCATGAAGAAATAATAGTAAATTAAACAAAAAGAGAACTGTTTATTTAGCAAAAGTGAAATATGCAACTAATGAAGACAATTTAATAAACGATTTCATATGCTTAGTTTATGTCTATAAAAGGGATTTATGGGAGACGCGATTACAGGTTTTTTCAGCAAGGGTTTCGAAGGTTTTTTTTCGGCATCGAACGGTATCGCTGGTGAACTTTTTATCATTTTGAAGTGCTCGTGAATTTCTTGGGATTTATTAAGATTAAGAGCGATTTTTACTTTCTTTGCACTGTTTTCGGTCAAATTTAATTTCGAAAATGGATTTCGTACCATATTCGGGTCTTTCTTTTTTGTTTTCTTAATAGAACCATTTAATACCGTTGGAAGTGTTTGGTTGTGTTTTTGAATAAGTTTTTGCTTATATTTCTTAGACGGTATAAAAATATCGATTTCGCCCTCTTTTGGGGGCGTATCCCATTCGCTCTTAGGGAATAGAATATCTTCTTTTTCAGGAGTACTTGTTATAATCGGATTTTGTAAACTTAATCTTCTTTTAGAAATAATAGTTGTTTTTTTTACAATATCAATTTCCTCATTTTCTTCGCCTGATTCTTCACTTTTAATTACAGAGACATTTGGACATTCTTCTGTAATCTTGGGAGATATTACAGGACTCTTTAAATTCTTATGGCCTGCTCTAGGACTTTTTAAAATTAATTTGTCGCTTTTAGATTTTTCTACGATATTCGTAATTTGTATTGGTGGATTGGAACTTAAAATTTTGTCTTCTATTACATCTTTTGAGACCTGTAAGTCATCACTGAGAGTTTTCTTGTCATCTTCTGCATTCTGAACGTTATAAACGTACCAAATTCCTGAATTCCTCTGAAACGAACCTTGAGCATCCAAATCAAAAGTCTTTAGTCGTTTTAATTTCGTCGATTTAACTTTAAGCTTGTCACTTTTATAAAGGTTTGTCGCTAGCTTTTTTCGTTTTGTTAATACCTTGTTCATTTCGTTAATATCCGATTTCTTGTGGATAATTTTTCTTTTAATTTTCTCAGTTTTTCTCATATCGTCGAAAAGATTACCTTCGCTCTCTTGTATGAATTTTTCAAGTTGACCTTTCAAATCCTCATTGTTTTGAGTGCTACTCTTGTTTTTCTTTTTTGGTAAGTCTTCAGCTTGCCGCTCTTCTTTTGGCTTTTTCAGCTTTTTCTTCTCTTCGTTGAGAAGTTCATTTTCAAAATTTGCTAATCTTTTTAAAGAATTCTTAATAGAAATCGAAGAGTCTTTCTTAAGAACTGGTACTTCTTTAGAACCAAGAGGAAATTCTCCCCTAGCCATTTGTTCAAACCTGTTAATTATATATGTTTTTAATTACAATATCATGAAAACTAAATGCAGGTTTTATATTTACTCATTAATAATTTTATTAATTGTCCTTCGATTCCTTGTAGTGGTATTCTTAATAAATCTAAAGTTTTTCAAACTTTCGCCTATTTCTTTTGGATCTATTGGAATCTGAGGAAGTTCTACATCAACATGACCAGCTCTTGGATCGAGAGGTTTATGAACATCTTCATCAGCTTCACTTTCACTGTCTGATATTGTTCCATCATCAGACAATTCCTCTTTTTGAATAACGTCTATTGTACCTCCGGGAAATCCACGCTAAAAATTTATCAAAATAATATTTATAACAGTAAAAAAATTAGTTTTACCTGTCTCCATTCTCTATATCGTTCATTATAATCAATACCAAGGTCTGATTGCCACATTAAATAACGAAAAATGAATTTGTTTATATGGCTTGTCAAACGCGACTCTCTAATCAGAGCTATCTGTCTCATAAAAGGTTTTAGTAGTGTTGTCACAATGTTGGCTTCTATTTCTCCTTTTGAAACCTTCAAATCACCAAAAGTTATTTTCAAAAACTAGATAGAGATAGGTACTATATAATAAACATTTTACTTTTGCCAACTCTTCCAGGTAAATTTCAACAAAATGCATCCCTAATCCAACGGGAGGCATTTTTTCTGTGTTAAGTACTGTTTCAGATAAAATTTCATTATACTGGTCCACAACCTTTTGATTCCAATTCTCATTGGATAAAACAATAAGACTTTGCCTTAATAGTCGTCTCACAAACTAAAACAAATTATTTAATTCACTTTATAACATTATTTTAATATTGTCACTTACCATTGCAAATTTATCCAAACGTAACTGATCAATTCCAAACCACTGTTCAATTAAAGTTCGTAAGCCACATTTGAAAAACAGTAAGGAATCTTCCCAAGTTGGAAAATGAACCAAAGCCGATATATTTTCTGCACATTCTTCCTAAAAGTTACACATCTTACAAATGAGGTTAACGAACTTTGAAAAATCATTCAAACCTGTATTAACATTTTATCCGACATCCACATTGAATAAAACAAGCCTTTCCATATTATCATGAAGTCTTTTTCCGTAAAAGCTGTTAAAAATATAAATTTCATAAAAAATTTTTTAAAAAGTAAGGTTATAATACACACGCATTCTCAACAGTCGGAGTTGTAACCATTTTTTAAGGGCTTTTAGGGCTCGATCTCGAATCCTCTTATTATTACATGCCAGCGACTTTGCAAATTTAATGTCCTGCGCTATTAACAGCACTTCTTTATCGTCTTTTTGCACTTTTTCTTTTATTTTGGCCATCTCAAAAGTCAAACGAACAATACGTCATTAAACTACGTCGACTACGTCATATGGTAGTAAACTTAATTTTTCAAAAGCAAGCGGATTTTATTTTTTTTATGCTTATCATTAAGTAAATTTCTTTTTATTTTTTTTAAGTAACTGCATAAAAAAATTCTTAATTAATTTCATAATTTACTTAAAGTTGATATTAAAACAGTAGAAACTTTATTTCAATTTTATAATACTAATACAACAAAACTACAAATTATTTGTTAATATAGAAGGAAAATAAAAAAGATTCACTTAATGTATATTATAAAAATCATAATGCTTTATCCTAATTTCTTAATCTGTATGGCCTGCTGCTTGTCGTAGCAATATGTATATTTTCTCTTTTATCCAGTCTTTGTTATATGGAGCATAAGTATTTGTCGATTTCTGATACACGAGACAACTCAAATCTGAAAGCTAAAAGTCGAAAACAATTAATTAAATCAGGATTTCGTCAAGAAAACTAATAAAACAGAGCAATATTATTAACTACCTACCTGGTCCACAAAATCAAACAATTGGGATATATCGTAGGTAATTGTGGGGGTGTTGGGATTCCTCCTCTTTAAATGTTCTTCATAAATCTTACAAACACCCTCCATACACTCGTTAACTGATTCATAATCGGAATAAGTGCGAGATTCGGGATTAACACCGGGTTGTACTAACAATATAGTATGAGCCTTAAAAAGTAAACCAGATGTTGTATAAAACTACCATTATTTTTTTTAATACACATTTTAATCGGTCTTACCATTTTTAATATGCTGTAATTCTATACCGCCAGTTTTCTGTAATTTATTTCTTTTTCTTTTACTTAACAAATGACAGACAAGGCAAATGTCAAAACATTTGCTATGCTCGATATTTGACAGCAGGCAGTGGCTCAATGTACGCGTTGCAGGATAATCATATACATTTTTTTAATGTACAGGGTGTTAGTTCTAATTACACCAGAAATGAATATTTATAGCTTTTCTATCTTGAACGGGACATGTATCTAGTTAATTTAGATAATGCGGGTTAAAGAACTGAAATGGTTTATTTGCTATTTATATAGAAAAACGGAAAATATAAACATACTTTTACAATCTATCAAGTCAACAACACTGATTATTATCACAACTTTAAAAAATTACATTAATGTCATACTCTGCTAATACATAATAACATAAATAATAACAAAAACAAAAAAAAATGATTAACTGAATTGTAAAAAAATAGATTATTTTTCCATAAACTGTCCTGCAATTTTGAATTCTAAAAACAATAATAGAAGAAAAACAAAAACAACATGTGAGCGCTATTTGCACAATAAAATACACTTTCTTTGTGAACAATTTATGTTAGAATTATTTTTAAAAAACCGAAATTTTGGATCGGTGAGTGTGCGACAAATCGTCGTCTAAAGTAAGAAGCACCATAAATGTGAAAAACATACCAGTAGCACTCAAAAAATGCCACACGTCATGGTAATCGTAAAATTGAAATACTTTACACTCCTGGTTATACCTTCTCGATCGAGCTGGTGTCAGCTGAAACAAACATAAAAACAATAAAAAAGAGAAATTACAAATACAAACTATTCTACTACTACTGGTCGTGAAAAAAAAATTAAATTTGGTTTCCGTAGGAAACAATATTGATCGTCTGCCTAAGTACGGACCTCGCATCTGCGGAAGAAATGCCCGAAATACTGTTTTTATTGCGGCTAGCACTGCAGGCAACACATAATACATCTCTGCATTGACAAAAGTATTAATTCGGTAAAACATAAACATGGTAAAAAGAATATGCTTTTTTCCATATTTATTTCTTTTTAATTATTGCATAAACGGCGCCTACCTATTAATTATATTTATTGTACATGATATCGAGGAAAAGTAAACGGAACCAACTTACCTCCCATGAGATAGACTTGTGTATAAAGAAATACATAGCTGACACGGCACATGTTAGCATCAATGTCAGAAATAGAATTGTTTGCACGTTAATTTTTTCTTTATGAAGTACCTGGAAAACGATTTAATATCTTAACATGGCATATTTCGCATATAGCGCTTTTATGTTTTCTACCTTCATTACTAAGTAGAATAGGAAATAGAGCATGGTATTGCATAGTAGAATGGCCAAAAGGTACAAGGCGAAATCTTTTTCGTGTTTATACAATCCATAACCGGCCAGAAGCCAATTTACAATATTTCCTAGTATCAAAAGTACCATTCTGCCTATGTATATTTAAAAAAATCAACCACTTTATAAAAAGCAGATAAAACGAAAGACAATAATTCATTCATACCTCGATGTAGAGGCTTCAATATATTTAAAGGACCCGATCTGAAATCATTGGCAATAATTTGAAACCTCCTTCTGACCATACCCTTATCTAAAAACAATACACTAAATAATCGACGCTCTCATTCGTTAAAGAAATTACTGGGTAAATCTGTTGCTTACCGAACTTCCAATTTCCTAAATAATAAAGTTGGGCGGTTAATATAAAACAAGTAATTATGTGGAGTATTGTAAATAAAATCCAAAAGTATATGTTTGCTTCTAATACTCCGATCATCCCTTAAAAATTAAACAATATGTATTAATCAAATAATAACTTTGAAATAACTAATAGAATCTACCTAAAAATATAGCCACAGCTAGAACCCCAAATGTGGCATAAGCAGTTGCATTTATATCAGGGTGTCTTGTTTGATACAATTTTACCATACAAAGTACTGCCATTATATACATGAAGCTCGAGTCTGAAATGTGAAATAACAACGAAAAAAAAAAATATTAATCAAAATATGATTATTAACCGACCAAACTGAAAGTTTAAATGGTTTGGACATATGTGATAACTTCCTGAGAGAACTCCTTCGGCAATAAGGGCAACTCCAAGAGCATAGAACAAGCCATAATGTTGTGGAATACCATAGTACTACAGAAATTGATATATTAGATTACACAAAAAAGAAATTAATGCAAAATTAAAACCTTATCAAAATTAATATCGTTGTGCTGCCTTTCTCTCCTTCTAACTATTATCAGAAAAAGAATTCCCAGCATTACATAGCCAATATTTGAAAATAAATGGTTAAAATCGCTCAGAATTCCCAAAGGATGAGCACACAAGAAGTTATAATAGCATAAATCCTGGTTCCCTGTTTCGTTTAAGACCTAACAACAAAAAATATGAAACTTTAAATAGATTCTGATCCAAAATAATTACGTTTTGGTATGTGATGACCAACTGCACTACAGGGAGACCATAAAACAGAGCAACAGTTAAGACATGCCACAAATAAAGATAAGATTTCTTTTTTAGTATCCGTGGGTCTTTTCTTGCCAAATCTTTTAGATATAAAACTGGCTTTCCCAAAATAACTTCTTTATCATTTAGTGCTTCTGTAATTGTGTCATATTCTGTTTCATCAAATGATATATTGTCGACATCATCAGCCACTACAGAAAACAGAAACAAATTTAAAAATATTTTTTAATAATTTCTCGATTTCATTTTAAAAATATAATTCGGGTAAAGTTGTTATACGAGGTGATTATAATATATAAACGAATTTGAAAAAATGCAGTTAGGTAAAAAAGAGCTGTAACATTCAATAACAACAGAACAATGAAATAATTATTTCCCATCTTCAGATTAAGAAAATTACCTGTAGTACTAGGCGTTCTGGCCCCATTTTCTGCTTCTGGTTCACTTTCATCAATCGATTCCATAGCTCTTGGTTTGTGTATACGCCTCCAATACCAGAATAGTGAAACATTGAAAACTATGTAAAATGCTATGATAATAAGAAATGTAAAAGTAACTGCTTCAGCATATTCTACGAAAGAAATACTCGGTTTTATCGTGAATGTAAGCTTTTTTGTTCTATCTTTTGATAGAATAGAAGTTGACCCCATGCATATTGAATCATCGGCATGTGCCACCATAACTATAAAAAATCCTGCAGGGAACTGTCGACTCTAAAAAGAATCTTTTGGTAAAGTAAACATTACAGCCCCAAAATACACTTACTGAAATTGTGATGCCCCCTTTTAGGTCAATAGTTTCCCAAAGGCCCTGGTATTTAATGTCATTATTGAGATCATAAATAGGACACTGGAAAAAGGGATGATTAAGAAAAATAGCAAAAATATTGATTATGTAACTTACAGAGGCATTTTGTATACTAATAGTCATACAAATTAAATCATCTGAATTAACTTCCAAAATCACCGTTTTCAAATTGTATTTATCATTAACTGTTACATTTTGATGAAAAGTATAGAAATAATATCTGAAAAGTTTAATATGACACTTTGATTAGTTTTAATAACAAAAAAAAGATTAAATGAATTACCTGGGTTCACTGGGTGAGATTGTAATATTGTACTGCTTTCCTAGGTCAATGTAAAAATCCGTTTCATCTGTTACTTCTACACTGAATGAAATGATTTCTTCAGATGCTGTTGAAAATGATATCACTGGGGCATCATTAACTCCATTAGAAAATTCTAAGCTTTTTGCCCCTAAAGTAGAATGTTTATAACATTTATTTTTTCATTACATGTTTGTTTTGTAGCTTCTACCTTTAAAAACATTCCTTGAAACTGTTAAATTTTCAACAATATTTGGACATAGTGTTCTAGAAATTGTGTAAAAATCTAATCCTCCTGAATCACTAATAACAGTTAAAGGTAACTGCCAGGACAGAATTTCCTTTTTCTGTCTGACTACAGCCATTAAGGGAAATTTTTTTGATGAGTTCATACATTTTGTAGTAATCCTTAGTGGTGTTATAAACTAAAAGAATACATAAATTTTGTTTTTAGCATAATTTATCTATAAACAAACTTACCGAATTATTTTCATACTGCAATATATATTCCAGACTATTATCAATATAAAATCTATAATATTTATTATACGTTAAATTTTTAATAAGACTTGGTGTTAAACAACTACCATAAACAAATAAAATAATGAATATAAGAGGTTGGAACATTTTTTAAACTGTTCTGGACGAATAAATCAAACGAACTAACAACTGGTAAATGATACTAGTAAAAATGGTTCACTTATTAATTTAAAAAACGATTACAGTTTTACCCTTATCTTTACTAATTAGTTTTGACTTAATCTTAGCTGTTCATATCGTTTCTTTAATGAGAATAATTATGCATATAATTATGTAAATAGTGTTGTTTTTATTTAAGATTTATTTTAGGTTAGGTAAGTGGTTAGATTCAGTTAGACGATTTAACGTTTTATTGTTTTTGAATTACTGTTGTAGTTATTAAAATTGCTTTTTATTTAAAATGAACTTCTCGTTTAGCTTTTTAAAATCATCGTGAGTGAAATTAAAAAAGACACAATACTTCTTAATACTAACAAATATGCGTTCCTAACACTTTTTGCGGTACTGTAGCCATTATCTACTAAATATAACATAACCTATAAATATTGACGTTTAGTTTTTAGGTTACATATTCCTCTAATCAAACAGCTTCTAATTAATGCATAATTTCTTTTGAAAATAAAGTTTTCTCATTCCTATAAAGAAAATGGGATCTGAACATTCCACTTTAGGAGTCTCTTCTAATATTGCTCGCCAAGCAAATTTAAACAGCGGTGCTTCTGGTAGAAGGAATTCAAATTTTAAAAGACAGCATACGATTGCTAACCCCGGTAATAACAGTGAAGTGATAGACAATACTGAGAACAGACCTCGTTCTATATCTCCTGGTCCCAGTCTTTGTAGTGATGTGGATTTACCCTACATAAGTTACACAGTTAATCAACCAATTGGAGGTCCGATGATCTTTTAATAAAAGGGTTTTAGGGTTTAAAGTTTTTCTTATTATTTATCGTAGATTCACCTAAATTTATTAACAGACAACAGATTACAAAACAAAAAAGTTTAGCTAGAAAAGTACAAACAAAAGCACCCTCCAAACCTGTACACAATATTGTGGTAGTGAAACCTGCAGCTCAAGCAGTAAATATTGAAAGGGACCCTGAAATTATGAGACTACAGGTATCTATAATGACTAAGTGTCTTAAAATTGAATTGAAAGTTTACAATAAGCACCTAATAACGTTTTTTTAGAACATTCCAATGTTTTTGCCAATTATGAGAGGTACATTGCACTTGCCTGCTGCAAGAGATCCAGAAATATTTGAAAGATTGGATCCCACACCTTTTTATAAATTGTGTGTTAAATATGAAACACATTTAAACAGTTGTGCCAATTTGGTTGCAACAGAACAAAATAGTTTAACTCAAAAAATAAAAGAGGTAAATTGTGTTCATCGGAGTTACACTGGCATAATAAATTTATAAGTACTTTTTATGTGCAGAATGACATAGAAATTACAAGGTTGGTGAATGCTGCTACCGATAAGCAGAAACGTTTTGCAAAATATGCAGAAAAATTATCAAAAGTACATGAGTTATCTCACCAGCTAAACAGATGTCATAATTTACTCAATCAATTGCTCGAATCTATGGAAACTTTGAATAATTCACTAAGCATTGAAGACAGACTTGAACCTTTTGTGTGGACCACAGGATGAGAATAAAGGTCCTTTTTAGTTCACATTTCAAATTGGGTTAGTTCTTACCTTTTATCAGTCTTTATATAAGGTTGTAATAGTTCTATTTGTATATTTTTAATCATTTTAAAATTCACTCTAGTCAAAATGTAGTACATAATAATAATTAAATGTTGTAAGACAAGAAATATTTATTAAATGTTGTCTATAGTGTTAATATTAAATCTCTTATTTTTCGATTAAAAAAGTTACATAAAAGGGGTCGTTTTTTACAGAAAGTCATTATTTTATTTTATTTAGACATCCTGTATGTGTAAATGTTCCTATCAACTATATCGTAAGATAATAAGAATATTGTTTTTCTTTTGTTTAAAGATTTTTAACAAATGAAACAAAAGAATATTGGAAAAAGTAGATTGTATTGTTAAGCTTTAACATCAAATTTTCATTCATTTTGACCTTTAGCAGAGTAATTATGTAGTTGACCTTGTCCTATATCCAAGCAGTGCAATTAATTTAACATAATTTGATTAAATGTTATATTTCTTCATTGCCATTGGTAATTTTATTTACGAATTGATAAAAAAATGAAATCAATAGATTAATTGTGAAGTATTACAGTTAATTTGGAGAGAATTGAAACTTTTTTTATATCAATCAGGAAGAAAGTTTTTTATTTCATCCTTATAAGGTCAATATACATATGTATATATATTTTTTATTTTTAATATTCATTTTATATTATTTATTATCAATTTTCTATTTTAGGTGATGATAACAAGGTGTTACAGCAATGTTTTATGCTTTTTTGTAAAAAAAATCGCAATTTAAAAAAATTAATACGGATCAAGGTCGCTGATGACACATGATGACGTCATGTAAAAATGGACGCAAATTTGGTAGGAGTTTTTTAATCCCATTTTCATTTCGACAAAAATTTCGACATTGAAGGCACCGAAAAGCGAAGAAACATTTGCAGAGAGACAAGTGAGTTTTATTTTTTTCGAAATTCATTTGTTTGCAACGTGACATATTCACAGCATTCTAAAATTTGCTCTACTTGCTTGGTAAAGGTTGTAAAGTAAAAAAAGATAGTTGCTTATTTTGTAACATCTTTGCACGAAAACGAAAGGTCTTTCTATCAGATGACTCAATTATTTTCACTTAATTTGCCCCCATTTAAGTGACGGTTAAATTAATTTTAGTGTAGTTCTAAAAATACCGTCATGATTATTCGACTCCTAGTACTGATACGTACTGAGTCTATTAAAACGAAATTTTTGTGATATTTTTAACCATTATGTGCCGATGAAAATGATGAACATAAAGGGTGAATGTGCTGTTTATTTGGCTTTCTAGGACTGCAAATACAACAGTGGTACAATTACATGAAGCCCAAAGGTATTGAAAATCATTCCTAGTGAATTATTTGCTGAATGAATTGAAAAAATTACATCAAAATGCCGGTTTTGTCGCCAAGAAGAAGCAGTTCCTCTACTCTAAATGGGTCATACAGAAATACATTTAGCACATCTAATCTTGACAGGCCATACTATGGAAGTAATGGTTATAGTCCAAGAATTAACAGCTACAGTGAACGGTATACAACAAGAAGTTACATAGACGGTGATGGTAGAAGAATATTTGCCAGGTAAATACACTTTAAACTCTAATTTGTTTTGTGAACACTTAAATAATTACTTATTTAAATGTATTATTGTAAATTCCTATAATTTCTCAATCTAAAATTGAATGAACAGATAATTAGGTTGTAATAAACTTTACGTAACTTTACTACAAGATGATAAGATAACAAAAGTGTTTGTGGAAGTTTCTTGTTGGTCCTAATAGAATTTATTAAGTTATTAACGTGTCATGGAGAGATTACTTGTTTAATTATGTATTACGTAAAGATATACTTCATTTTTCATTACTTTTACTTGTGGTGCATAAGTGGCAGTGGTCATTATAATTTAACACAAATTTTTTTTGTTACAAAAAGAAAAAATGGTTTATTTGAAAAGGTATGAGTTAATTTAATTAAATTGTTTTTATCCTACAACGGCTAAAAATAATCTATTGACTGTTTATTTATATCATTTGGGAATCAAACGTATACGTATGTGAGTGATATTCTAAATAATACTGAAATAATTTAAAATAAAGGGACATCCCCGCAATTTAGTCCATAATAAAATTTAATAATAAAACGTATTTAGTAAAAAGCATTATTTACGTTAACGTTCTTAATTATTTCAGGAATGCACAGGCATATCTTGGAATTAATTGATTGATGACTAATGAATAATAAGTACATACTTCTTCAATGTTGCATAGACTAAAAAACAATTTCAATTTAAAGCTACTCTGGTACTTAATTTATTATAAGCGTAAGATAATACTCATGTCTAGCTGTTTTAATGGAAAATCGCTGTATTATTGTAATTTATTAACGTTTGCCTCGATTTTCTTTTACATCGCAGCTTCCTGAAGAATGATGATTATAATTTTGAAAAGAAATACTCGTAAAGCAATACTTATAATTTCTAATGCAATACTTTATCGATAACTTTTATTTTGGGACTTTTACTCTTGAATTTTAATTTATATCTTTCTACTTCAAGGCAGGGCAGTATCACAGAAGATGGCGTTACTACTCGTTTTAAAGAAGAACTCTGTGAACCAAACAGTCTCAGAGATTCGTTGTCATGGGGCGATTCCGTCCGCGAAAGTTCTGTCTACGACGGGCTGCCCAGTCGTTACGACCGCGAGAGCTCACTCACAAGATCGATATCTCGCGACACCACCACCACCTCGTCATCAAGAGCCCCCCTGACCCCCATAAACGTTGCCGAGTCGGTGGCGGAGCTTCACAAGAAATACTCGCCCGCCAACTATGTTCCCGCGTGTCGTCGCAAAAGCGAAATAATATCACGTTCGAAAAGCATTAACGACATAGGAAAACCGCCCCTCTTAGTCGAACAATCGATTGAAAACAAGAAGGTAATCAATAACGGTGTGAACTATAACAATGGCTTGAGTGTGTATAACAATACTAACAACAGTAGCGATAAAACGTACGACAACGACTATCCGGAGGAAGATGATAATGGTAACAGGGCATCAGTTGCGGAAATATGCAAGAAATTCGACCAGAGAATCGTTCCGTCCAACGGCGAAGACGAAAAGAGACCTTATGAGAATGGCTACAAGAAATTCGAACCGGTTGAGACAAAATTAAGGAGAATCGAACCGGTAGAGACCAGATTAAAAAAAACTGAGCCGGTAGAAACCAGACTAAAGAAAACCGAACCGGTAGAAGCCAGACTAAAGAAGGTGGAACCGTTAGAGACCAGGCTGAAGAAGGCGGAGCCGGTAGAGGGTCGATTTAAAAAGACAGAACCGTTAGAGAACGGTTTCAAAAAATTTGAGGCAACAGAAAACGGTCTCAAGAAAGGAGAACCGATTGAAAACGGTTTAGGCAAGTCGGAATTAAAATTGGAGAAACCGGAACCTGATGAAGGTGACACGGTCTCTAGTGTCGTCAAGATTAGCGAGAACCGCTTCAAAAAGCTGGATAACGAAGAGAACAAAACAAAAATTAAGAAACCCGAGCAGAAAACTACTAGAGAGTCGATCAAGAAAACGGATCCGGATGCTCCAAAGACAAAAACATTAAAATTGAAATCTGAGAAGTCATCGACTCCAAAGTCCGAGAACGGTTTAATGGTAAACGGCACCGGCATCGCAACGACGAAGCCTCCAATAAAAAAAGCGGCTGCGTCGTCGAAAAAGAAACTGAATCAAGAAAACACTGATGCCAGTGTCAAAATTGACAGTACACGATGCATGCCTGAAAATGGTTCAAAATCAAAGTTGGGTGAGGTTTCGGACGTGGTGAATGATGATGGGGTCGAGCTCAGGGGGGGCAAAAGCATACTGGACGTGACACCCGATTTGGAAACCCAGACGACTGCCGTAGCGACAGCATCGTCATCAACTAAAGTCAGCGTCGACAAGGCGGAGAACGAAGGAGAGGACGAGGACGAGGTCGAAGGTGACGGTAAGAATAGGCGCACGAGCAACTTCGCCTCTTACATACCGAGCGAAGAGTTCGTACGAGGGGATGTTGGAAAGGACTCGTCCGTTAACGAAGACGAAGACGACACAAGCAATGACATGGATGAACGACACATTCTCAGTGACAACAGCCGATACATTCTGCATAACGAAAATACCGTGAGTATCTATAAAACTGCGTAATTTCTTTTTTTTTTTTTTTTTGAGTTGTTTCAAAGCCCAGAATCTCCCCATGTTTAGAAGAGAAACGAAACATTATCGTACTTAAAATATTTAGATTGTGTTTTTGTTCAGACAGTTCTAAAAGTTACTGAACTTAAAAGATATAGGAAGACAGAAATCTTATATTTTTGCGATAATTTAGCTTATTTAAACTTTACATGAGTTTTTCTGTATATAGCTTCTATTTGTTCATATGATCATTATTTATATAAAATATATATTCAACATTCAAAAAACATTCATAAATCATACGGATATGTCCCTGTTTTCAATATATTACAAATTAATAATTTCATAAGATGGTATACATTTGGTACTTTTGGATTCTGATCTAGTTTAATTAATTTGCTCCTAGTTTATTCCAACCCAACGAATGTGAAATTCATTTTGCCTACATAATATTGGCGTAGTAATTGTGCATTTAATGATTTATTTAATTCGTAATTGGTGTATTAACAAACCGACAAAAACCATCCATTTGTTTTTTAAAATTACCGACAGTTACTTCGGTTATATTTTTGTTGACGTCGATGTCCACATGTTTTCGGGCAGCAGTTCACTTTACGAGCACCGGAAAAAGGTCAAGGTACATTTTAAGATTTGTTATTTTTCCGATCGGTAACTTATTTGACTGTAGAAATTATTTCCCTTTTTTGTGTTTGTTAACAATTTGACGGTGTTAATTTTGACATTGGTCGCATCGTTGATCCTTAACCTTAACGAAAAAAAAAAAAAAAAAAGAGTTAGAGGTGTCTGTCTGCTAGTCCGCGACAACGTCGTGGAGCGACACTTTTGTTTTTTCTTGTTTGACAGCTCTACTAAGGTTAAAAAAAAAAACTTTACATAAATAGCTTATCTACGTTACGAAACGTTATTATCCATTGTGTTGTGAACGAATTGTTTTAAATTTTGTGACTTTTTTCACACGTGATTCCGCTCGGAAAACGGAACAAAAATGTCCCTACATCCGCTCTACTGTAACGTCAGTATGACGAAGAGACAGCCTTTGGTATGTGTCAGCCAAGACGGATTATTCTAAATGTCTTTCGTTGTTGTTATTAGCGCCTTTTTTGTTTTAATTATTTTCTGATAAAATTTTTCTTTTGATGAGAATGTACTGCCCAAGTTCGGTTTTCTTACTGCCACGTCGGTCCGTTGTGCAATCGTAATAAAAATAGATTTTTTGGCAGCGTCTACAAGTCTCCAATGCTTTTCTCGCTATCTCAGTATGAATTTGTCAGTTTATCTTTTTTTTTCGGTTTGGCCTTATCTAATCCATGTAGATACGATTTCTTCCTGTGGTTCATATATTTTGCCAGAACTAAAATGTAAATAATAGTTCATAAATGGAGAGAGCGATTATTATTTTCGTTTCAATAACTTGATTGTCTTATTAATATGTCGGGAAGTCGGGAATAGCGGTGAATCATTAAATTATGGATACATATTGTTTGCCAACTGGAAATGTAAGTGTTGTTTTTCGGCTAATTCTGTTTAAATGAATTCGGATATTGTCGGATCTATAGTATGGTGGTTTTGGATCGGTTCATTTCTTTTAGTTTTGTACGGTTTTGTCTTGGGGCTCCTGGATAATTTTTGCCTTTTAAAATGGACCGTTTCTAGTCCACGGTCACAATTCTATTACAATGGCAATTATATTTATGGGGTATGTATTTGGTTTGGCGAAAAATCGTATTTAAAACGAAAAATGCTTCTAAAACGATTCTATTAACATTATTTTTGTCACGCACTGCCCCTCTGAGTGTCTTAATGCTGTTTTAAAGTTTGTTAAATCTTTGTTGTGATTTTTCGACCACCCCTGCACTGTGCTTGTTATTATGTGTGTACTTATAATTATTTGTTTCTATAGTCAAAATTATTTATAATTCTTTACTATTTAATAAGGTATTTTTTAATTAGAAAATGTCACTAAAACTTGAAGACTGTATGTTTTTCTTAACACTTCACTTCATATCTTATGAAAAGTTTATAATTTTAATGTTTAACGTTAATTATTATAAGTTGGGTTGGATTAGGAAATTAGACTATCAAAATTTCGAAATCTAAATTTGACTTATTGCTTTTAGTGTAATAAATTGATTTATGGTATTGTAATTATTTGGATTTGTTTTTGTTAGAGCTCCTTGGAGCGCCACCATCGGGCAGGAGCTGGTGGCCGCGAGCACTTGGACAGTTACGGGCGTCAGTCAGCGGCGCCGTTGCCCCATTTGGGGGGCGTCGGTTCCGTCGTGTCCACCCGCAACACCGGCCTGAACGGACTCAAGAACATTGGCAATACCTGCTTTATGAACTCGGTGCTACAGTGTCTGTCAAATACGCGACCACTGCTCGAATATGTCAAAAACGACTCATATTTGAAGGACATTAACACGACCATATCGGGTATGAAGGGGGCCCTCATTAAAGGTAAGAAACAGTGTGTATATTTCGTTTTTGATGAAATGTTGAAAAAAAATTTTTTTTAGCGTTTGCACAGGTGATAAAGGAATTGTGGTCCGAAGATTCGTCCGATCGAGTAGTTAATACTGTGTCGTTGAAATCTCAAATTCAACGTTTCGCCCCACGATTTATGGGCTACGCTCAACAAGATGCCCAGGAATTTCTCCGTTATCTACTCGAGGGCCTCCACGAAGACGTCAATTGCGTCACCGTGAAACCCAAACCCATCCATACGGAAATTGATGAAAAGCTCAGGTAAACATTTCATCCCCGTCCACATGCTACTCTTTAGGTCAGTTTTTTTCACCCTTTAAAAATCGTATATATTTGTAGCGATTCAGAAAAGTCTGCCGAATCATGGCGTCGTTATCTGCGCATGGACAATTCGAAGATCGTCGACATCTTTGTTGGTCAGTTAAAGTCAACGCTGAGGTGCACTCATTGCGGTCACTGTTCCGTAACATTTGACCCCTTCTGGGACCTTTCCCTACCCATTCCTCAACGTGCAGGTCCCTTAAGATTACAACAGTGCCTCGAATGCTTTACCAGAGAAGAAACCCTAGACGGAGACGAGAAACCCGTAAGTTATTTTTTACATAACTAGTTCATCCCCCTATCAGTTACTGTGAAATCGAAACTGTTAGCACCATTGCTTCGAGCGGTCGAAATTCACTTTTGTGAACAATTTGTTTAATCACTTTCTTTGTGTTAAAGATTGTTTGAAAATTAAATTTAAAGGAATTATTTGTAAATAGGTATGCAACACAGCATAAGAAATTGCTGATATTAACTACGTAATACTACTTTGCTGTGCTGACGGCATTCATAATTTTTTTTATACATATATAATATTCGTCTACGCGCGGGATATTGAATTATGTTTATTTTCAGACATGTTCCAAGTGTAAAGAAAGAAGAAAATGCACGAAATCTTTCAGCATACAGAAGTTCCCGAAGATACTTGTAATTCGTATCCTTTTTTTATTATTGTTTTTTCATTGGACTGTCGATTTTGTTTTTCCTTGACGGTTTCGATTAGATTTGAAACGCTTCTCGCCAACGGAGAGGTACAGGGGTAAATTGTCGTTAACTATTGACTTTCCTATCGAGGGGTTGGACATGCAGAATTACGCAGCTGATGGGAGCAACGGGGACTGTCGTTATAACCTGTATGCCATTTCAAATCACAGTGGGACCACCTATAGCGGTCACTATACAGCCTATTGTCGTCATCCCTACACCCAATCGTGGCACGAGTACAACGACTCAAGGTTAGACTTTTATTTTCTATTTTGGGGGATTGTCTTTTTGCTTGCTACATGTTCTTTTTCTTATTTGCACTTCGCTTAATAATGGTTCATATGACCCATAGATTATTAACCGTAATCCATTGCCACAACTTATTTGTGCTTTTTGATATTAGCAAAGAGTGTGCTTGAATTTTAAGGTTTTTCGTATTAGGATCTTTATGTAGTAACTAGTTCTTCCCCACCTATCGGTAACTGTGAGCTCGAAACTGTTAGCACCATTGCTTCGAGTGGTCGAAATTCACTTTTGTGAACAATTTATTTAATCACTTTCTTTGTGTTAAAACTTGTTTGAAAAATATAAATTTAAAGGAATTGCTTGTAAATAGGTATGCAACACATCGTACACATCAGCATAAGAAATTGCTGATACGAACTACGTAATACTACTTTGCTCTGTGCTGACAACACACATAATTTCTTTTATTTATAATATTTATGAAAATTATGTACAAAAGACAGTACACAGAACTTCTTTAAGGTACCAAAATATTTGATACTTTTCAATGTACTCGAGTAACAACTAAATAAAAAGTATTTAGGGAATAATGATTAAATTTATTCCTTAGTTCTTTCGTAAATTAATATATTTGCACATTTTCATATTAAATAAATTTGTGACAATTAAAAATCAGGTCAAAATTTAGTGTGTCTGTAGGTAAGTACAACTAAATTTTAATTGATCGTTTTGTTATTTTTTTTTGTTCATAAAGTATACATTACATACATATAAAAAACACACATAAATAATTTCCTCTGCTTTTAGCCTCCTAAATATCTTACTCCTTTCCTATTTGTTGCATTCCTCTGTGCTGAAGAAATTAATCCATCTATTAAAATTAATAAATCATATTAGGTCTAGTACATATGTGTATTATGTGCAAAGGTTCGTATAGAAATAGTAGCTAAATTAACTTCTTGGCTATTCTTGTCTCAGGTAATTTAGATGGTTAATAATTGTATTTTAAAACGTTTTTTTTCTTTTCATTTTGATTTTTAGAGTGTCTCCGATCTCTTCAAAGTCCCTGGTCAGTGGTGAAGCATACGTACTGTTCTACGAACTCGAAAACCAGAAATCTCACCTATAATAAATAAAAAACATACATTGGATGACTTGGAAATTATTTTTTTAACCCTATAGGGTGGACGCATACTAATTTACTGTGTGTATTATTTTTTTTAAAGCGCCATATTTTAATATTCCGCTCATGTATTTTTTTATAATTTTCTTTTTTTGAAATATACCCAATTTTGCAGTATTCTCGACCCCCGTCCTTTTGTTCCTGCTTTTTCCATTTTATCCTAATCTATCCATTCAATTTTATACGTTTTTCCAAATAGTCGTTACTTTATGTTTGTGTTTGTTCTGTTCTTGCAGCATATACTCCTAGAGGATGCATTCTTTGTCAAAAAATGTGTACGCAATTGACTATTGTACCCATTTCCATAAAAACATTTGGTGTTTGTCATCTAATACTGATGAGCTGGCAGTAATGCAAAGCCGGAGGGTAGGGTGGAAGGCCCTCTCTAGTCTTTTTTGTAGGAATTGTGGAAATGATTAGGTGGGTGGTTGATGAGAAGAAAAAGATACTAAATACCCACTCGAACGTATAAGGTGCAGCCTCTAGGAAGTACTTGCTTTAATGTTTTGTTTGTCATTTTTTTTATGTTTGTTTTTAATTTATTCTATTGTTTGTGTTGTTATGTTGCAGTTCTCTTGTTTTTATTAAGAGTGTTATTGTTGAAAACTTATTTATATTATTCAGAGCGTGCTGATTTGATGGATTACAAAGTATAGATATTTATTATAAAACAAGGGAAAATTTCTCCAAAGGATAAGAGAAGAGAAAGGGATTACGTAAATGAAAAAGTGATGAGCGAGAGAGAAAATAATTAACATGATATTAAAGATTGTAATTTAATTGTGTATGTTGTCTGTTTTCGTTTTTTACTTTTCTTGTTTGGTGTGGTTTGTTGGGCGATAAAAAAGAATCTGTTATCGGTACAATCAAACCATAAAAGGAACCTTCAATTTTTTAGAGAATATATAGGTCATGCAATGCTTTTTCGATTATTCTGTTCCAGTTTACAGCATGTACTTAACAGTAACTTTATTTGCAGCTAAAGAACATTTTTAACAAGTCTTTGTACGATTGTAATATTAATAATAATAATAATGATAAGACTAAATCTAGTCTCTTGTGAAGTATTTTTTTCAGACAAACTGAGAGTTCCACGCAGGTGCTTGTCGTCCGTTTATTTTGAATAAGAATTGTATGGGTTAAAAGTAGGGTGAACAGTTACAGAATTCGTCCAACCCGTAGTGGATTGTCCTAGTTTGTCTGAATGAAGTCTTTTAGCCATTAAGCTTGTCTTCATGAACAAGCCGCGTCAGTAAAACTTGTGATAGGTAGTGGATTTAGTGTCTAGTTCTATTGTTTATTATATTTTTATTTTTGTTCTGTTACTATTATTGCCTCTACGACAAAACATTATCGATACTCGTAATTAAATAAGGTAGATGAGATTAGGTGGAATAAGGTTATTACTTTTCGTTTTCATTTTTAACGTGTGCACTACATTGTAGGTTTCAATTAATTTAAATTCGTTTCTGAGCTTTCCTACGTAAGAGAACCATGTGGCCTTCAGAAAACGCTCCTTATTCCACTCACGCCGCCCTTAAAAGGTACTAAAGTTATGTGTACACCTGATCGGTAAGTCAGTGTCACGTCACTCAACATCGTTCGTAACCAACTTTACCGCAGTGCTACCAATGTAATTGTTTGTTTTTTAACGTTAAAAGTGCTACGTTATTGTTGTATGTTGTACTTTACGTTGGTAAGAGTGGATATTAATAATGCAATAGTTTTGTTTTTAACAGTTGAAAGTCAATATACGAAAAATGGTGCGTGACGTGACTGATGACGTAGATCACGTGTGTTGCTAGCCTTACCTAATGTATATACAATAAGTATTCAAAAAGTTTTAAGCGCTTCCCACATTTCTAGCGACTTATTTAACACTATTAATGATAAATTAAAACTCTAGGTAGAGGAAACAGAGTTTAGATTAAATTGTACAAGATGTGTTGTATATTTTGGGCTTCTAATTAACTACAGTAGTTCATTCGACTAAAAATTCAGCAAACTAATTAAAGCGTCTTTTTTTATGATAAGAAAAAGACTTGAGATGGAGGCAAATGCATTTCGTTTGTGTTATTCACTACAATTTAAGGGAAAAGGTTTTTTCGTTGTTGTTTTTTTTTATTTTGAAACTGGTATGAGACAGATTAATGATATATTTAGAAAAAAATATGTGTAGATTCTTTACGATGTGCTCGCCCAGACTAATAATAAATTGAATGATAATTAGAGAGAAACTACCGTTCAAAAAAACTACGATAATAATACTCAGAATAGTAGCTTTATATTGAAAGATGTGTTACAGCACTAACTTATTTATTAAATTGTTTGCAAAAGTTTGTTTTTTTTTTATTTCTGCCAACCTCATTTCTATGAATTGTCGGGTGTAATAGGGGGAAATGGGTGGTCGTGTTAAAATTGGAAAACCGAAAAAAGGTGGGTACATTTGTGTCGCTGTGTTGTGTGTGTGTGTGTTACTGAAGAGGTTTTTTAATAAAATAGTACTTTATTGATAAGTGCAAATATGTCACCAAACTAATCACTAAAACTTGCCGAAATTGTCCCGAGTCCGCCCCTGTTCGTTTGTACGAATCTTACGTGCAGATATTGCATCGTTAATTAAGTATGTGTATCAAGACTTACAATTAAACGTTTTATTATCGAATTAGTTAGCAAATGTTTTTAATTTTGCATTGTTACGAACTGATCGGTTCAACTTTAATTATAGTCTATTTTAAATTAAGTAGTCGCGTTATTTTTCGAGCGTTTATGGCGAAAGAGTGCAATTAGTTTTTTTTTTATTTAAAGCAATCTATTAGGAATCACTTTCAAATTGAAAACCAAAGGAAGGACCATTTACAATAATTGAATGTTATTTTTAATTCTTTAATTTAATAGGAACATGTTTGAAAGTTTTGATCCAAATATGAAATATGTCTTTGTTACACTTTCTATAACAAATCTACTACTTATTAAATATTAAATTTTATAATTAAGTCTTAATCTTTTCAAATTGTTTTTTAAAAGGAAATATTTTGACGCTAATAATAGTTTTAAAAAATAACGTGAATTAATTTACATAACTGCATAGTTACGGGTAAAACTTATATAAATCATTGCATTGTGGAGGGATGGAAAGGGTGATAATTTTTTATTATTGATTTCCATGAATTAATAACACATATATAAATCGTGTAAAATTCTACCTTAAAGAGGTCTAACTAGGGAAAATACAATAAAGAATGTACTTATTCACTTTGTGTGAATAATTAGATATTTATTATTTGTGAAATTAAAAAATATATTGCCGATTGAGTACAGGGACGTATTATTAGATAATCTGAAACAAATAGGGCTTTTTTTTAATAAAAATGAGGTCTTCAAATTTTATAAAATAAAAACAGAAGATATTGTTCTAAAAATATAAAATTAATTACCTTATTTTAATACTCATAGGTAATAGGGGTCATTTTTTACATAGCTAGTCACATACGTTTTACACACCAACCACTTTGGCATGCCTTTTACGTATACAGAATATGACAAATAATTTGACCTGTTTTTGCAAATTGCATATGTTTAATTTAACAATATTTTAATTGATAGATAATAGTAGAGGTAGCCAAGGGCCAAAACAAATTTTAAAAATATCGTTTTTTTTAAGGGTGCAGTGCCTCACTAATAAAAGGCCTCCATCTGCATGAATTTACTATAATTAATTAAAAATTTCAATAATTTACATCATTTGTTAATTACCTGCCACATCATTTTTTACTAGTATTAGTAGTAAGTTAAAGATAATTTCGACTAAACTCTTTCTTTGCATAGGCCCGCACCAAAATCTACGTAGGCCCCCCCATTTTTTTAATCCGGCACTAGCAGGGTGCACTTAAAAAAAATTTTATCTAATATAAGAAAAACAATGTTATTTTAGGATTTTACTTCTCTGATGTATTCAAAAGCAGAATTTAAACCGTCTATTACTTAGGTGCCTACCTACCTATTAAATTAGTGAAAATAATTTAGTTAGGTACTTTTATTTAGGAAACTCATAGTACCTACATTTTTAAGAAGACGGTTAATAATTAAATTTTTACTAAAATAATTGTATAAGATTTACTTTTTTTAAAGGAAAAACAATTTAGTAAGTTCAGTTGTTTATTAATGCCTATAATACTGTTAAAACTTATAATGTTTCATTGTATTTAGGTTGGTATACCATGTAAATTTGTTTTTTGAGCTTACATTGTTGCAATAGAAACTTTGAAAGCTCCCTTAATCCAACCCTGCCTATTTCCGAAAAAGTCCTGCCCCTTTCTTGGTACGTAGCATAAGGCGTATGATCAGTGAGTTGAAAACTCTCGTGGTGTCCACAGCTGCTGTACTCTCGAATTCTATTTAAGACTAATTTTCGAAATAAATTGCTAATTTAAAAAAAATATATTTTACGTGAATAGATACACAATACCTATGACATTGCTGATATGAACGAATTTAAATAGTTTATAGACAATTTTGTGGCGTGTTCGTCTTGATATTTTCGAAAATATCGCCCAAAGGATTCTATAAATCTCTAGCCGAATAAAAATCGTGTGCTGTATGTCAGCTTTTTGACTTAAAATGTGAAAATAGTGGTGTATTGTAAAGCAGAGTGAGTATGGTCGTGAACTGAATCTTCATTGATTTTTTGCGAGTTTGTTATCATCGTTTTATCGTTCATTTTAAATGGTGTCGTTGGTTGAAAGTGTGCAGCCGTTTTTGGTAATTTTTTCCCAACAATTGCCATGTGAAATTCTGGCCGAAAACGGTCATTTTTTTAAATCATTACACTCCCGCGATTGCGAATTTTAGTTGACCGTCTCGGACAAAGATGTCGCAGAGCGTACGATTCGCGAATTCATTCGGCAAGTGCTAAATCTAATTCTCTATCAAAAATATCTTATAATCCCTCGTGTCGCACTGGTAAATGTGGAAACGTTCGGGAAATGATCGTACAGTGATTTTCATGTTGGAAAAAATACTAACTATATAAAGACTGGGAGCAGTTGCCAAAAGGACGAGTGTAAAGATTGGTTCTTTGGATTTTATTGGTGAGTTTAGTTTTCGTCGAAATGGTTGACCTAATTTTTGAATTTTGATACCAATACAAAACTACCCCTATGTAACGAGCCGCGTGTACCCTTCCGTGCCATTTACGTGATTGATTTCGAAGTATCTTCTGTCTTTAGGGGTTTGAGGTTAATTTTTAACGGCAGTTAGCTTTTGAATTTTAGGCCTAAAGTTATATTATAACAGCGGACTGTTTAATACCGAAAATATTGGTAAAATACATAACCCAGGGTTTGTTTACAGTTCCGGGAAATTTTTGTAAATATTTTATGTCCTACACCTTTTTCTACAATTCTCTGAAAACTTTAAAATATCCAAACGTACTGAAATACATGCACATTTAATTGTTATTTTATTAACTTTTACATTTTTGATCATGTAGGTAACATTGTAATTTTATTTTAAGCCTCTGCTACTTTCAAAAGTTTTTTGATTACTATCAAATAGATAAGATAATATTTTTCCCAAGTAGGTACTACTTTAAAAAAGAAAGGTTTTCCTGAAAACCCACCTAGTAATTAAACAATTGGATATTAAATTAATTTCAAAAAATTTTTATAGGTAAGGGAGGTAACAAACGACTTTGTACCTAATTATTACTACTTATAAATAATTAGAGGAATTCATTTTGGCATTATATTTATTTATAGGTATCAATTATATTTGAAAAAATAAGAAATTTGGCCCCCCTAAAAATGAAGGCGTTATTTGAAGTTTTTTCCTAGGGTATTATTTTTTTGTGATTCTAATTAATTACACGTTAGGAAAAATCCATTTTCGAAAGTTTCATTTATTAGACTAAAGTTTTATTGTCACATAATTTTTATAAAATACCGTAAGTATCGATTTTAATAGACTTTAATTGTTTCTATTATATCGGTCTTTCATATTATCATCTAACGATAGGGGCGTTGTATAGTTAGGACATAAAATAAAGGAGCAATGGCGAAGGTTTTTCTAGGACAAGGGTGTGAGTAGTTTCAATAATAGGGCCGTAACTGATGAATGACGAGAACCTTCTCTCTCAATAGACACTAGGGTAGGGGTCAAAATGGTGTCTTGCCTACATAAAGAAGGGCCATGTTTTTAGACAAACCTTTAAATGTATCTTACGTAATAACAACGACATTATTAGAACAATATATACTTAAAAAAGTATTTTAACAACACTATTTTTTTTACCAGAACCCTTTGTTAACCTCAAGCTATTTAAAAAAACGGATACCTAGGTAAAAAATGAAAAAAACAATACCTTTAGGTATTAGAGCAGTTAGGTATCTTTTGGATGTTTTTGAGATTTTAGTAATTTTCTTACTAACAATTCAAATTGTCGAAAATATTTCGACTACATATATTTCTCTTTAATTTTAGAAAATGTTTTTCTAGGCGTATGGGATAACCAGTAAAATTAAATGTTTTAATTATTCATTAAAATATTAATACCCTAATGAGTGTATGTCTATTATAATGAATCGGCTATAGGTATATAAAAAATATACCAAATTCCACCTCTGTACATAGGTATTTATGGGTATATTTGTTTTTTTCCTAATATACGAAATTGAAATATCAAATCACCACGCCAGGTCCGGCGTGGAAGGTATTGCACGGTTAGATGCCATTCAAATTAAAGGTAGATTTATTCTGATTTCTAATTATTCTTTTTCATCATTTTAATAATAAAAAATGTTGTTTCCATCGGGTATTCCCCAACAAATCATTATTAACATAATGATAAAGGTTTTATAATTTTCAAATCTCGTTGTGAATTTACAACATTTAAAAGTTGATACAAGTTGTTTTGCAGGGGAGGACTGTGAATATGGGGGGCCCTGAACTAACACTACTTTAGGTCTTACCTATTTAATTAATCAAAAATCTATTTTCGTTAATGATAGGAAAAAAATTAGGGCAATGATTCATAGTTGTATAAATGATAAAGCATTTAAATTATTTTTTTATTTTCTAAATTCACAATATTATCCATTGTCTTCAATGGGGGCTGGGGTCCTTTATATCCACGGGGCCTTGGGCTGCAGCTCAAAAAGGCCACATACAAATCCGGCTCTGTTACAAGCAACTGGTAAAGTTTAAGAGTTAAGGGAAGGAAACTGACCTCCCCTGTCTCTTTAGGATGCCCCCTATTTTTTTATAGTTTTAGAAGATTTTATTTTTTTTTTATTTGGTAGAGACGTTTATAGAAGGAAGGATTCAAAAGGTCATGACC